CAGGATTTATCTTTGCCTCACTACAGCAACAAACGGACCATAACAATGATTATTTAGTACAAACCTTAAGTACCTTTACATTGGTCTGTTTTGCCTCATCTTTGTGACGTTACAACACCGAAAAACAGCTTCATTGGCCCGTCTCTGTGGGTCGGGGCTCCCGCAGCAGCGCTTCAATGTTACTATTTTTAATGTTACTATTTTTGTTACTGTTTTTAATAAAGATCTGATCAAGAAGGTAATTAGTCAAACTGAAAGCTTGACTAATTGAATTGCTTTACAACCAATGAACAAACTATGCTAAAATGCGGTGAATTAATTCTTAATTAAAATCTGTTTGTGTGGAGAGTGCAACACTGAATGTTTTTAAATATATACTTTTTGACGTTTTAATGACGATTTTAAATCTCACAGCGAGTGTTAAAACGAAGTGCATTCTGTTTTTCGTCTCCGGGTAGCGAGTACACTGAATGACCAGGGAAGGGAAATTTTTGATTAAAAAAAAACAAACATACAATATACGTCATGTCGACGCTTATTCGGCTAAAACGCCGCAATGTAGTTATGTATTTAAACGTATAACTTTAGTTATGAGGACACATTATAATTATGTCTTTTAATTATTATTTTTTTAAAGCTGTGTAATGTTGTCACTTCCGGACACGCCCCATCTCTTCCTGTAAACAAATACTACGTCATTTTCTCCACTTTTCGTTAGTCGTCTGTGTTATTATTTATTCTTCTTTCGGACAATGGCTCAGGCCGGTGTAATTCTGGACAAGGACCAGTTCAACTGTTCCATATGTCTGGACACGCTCAAGAACCCGGTCACTATCCCGTGTGGACACAACTACTGCTTCAACTGCATTCGGGAGCACTGGAACCAAAACGACATCTTGGGCGTCTTCGCCTGCCCGCAGTGCCGTCAGAACTTTAACCCGAGGCCAACTCTGGCCAGGAACACCATGTTGGCTGACGTGGTTGAGAGATTCAAGACCGTTGGACTCAATGGCGACGTCATCGAGAGTTTCGCCGAGGCAGACGATGTCGAATGCGACGTGTGCACGGGGAGAAAGAACAAGGCTGTCAAATCGTGTCTGGTTTGTTTGGCCTCGTACTGCGACCTCCACGTCCAGCCTCACTACGAGTCTGCTGCTTTCAAGAAGCACAAACTGGTGACTGCCAGCAAACAGCTGCAGGAGACGATCTGTCCCATTCACGACAAGCTGCTGGAAGTGTTCTGCCGCAGCGACAACCAGTGTATCTGTTACCTGTGTCTGGCCGATGAACACAAGGGTCACGACACTGTGCGGGCCGAAGAGGAGGTGCAGCACAGACTGGTAATAAACAAATCAAATCATATAAATGACTAAGCGAATGGAAAATGATCGCATGCTACTGTTACAGATCAAAACAGATAGATGGTGGAACAGTGTTCAAAAGAAAAATCTGTCATATTTAGTCTTAAATTTTAAAACAGTTTTATAACAGGGGTGTCAAACATATTTTCACCAAGGGCCACATCAGCAATACAGTTCCTGTTGAAGGGCCGGTTTTAAATGGAACACTGCATCGATCAGGGGTCCCCAACCCCCGGTTCGTGGACCAGTACCAGTCCATAGGTCCTTTGGTACCAGCCCGCAGTGGGACACAGTGAAAAAATGAAAAAATTCTAATCTACTTCATTCAAAAAAAATGTTTACATTTACTTTATTTATTTGATGATAATCTGGCAACATTTTAAAATAAAAGTCATTCAGACTTTGGTACAAACAGAATAGAGTCTGGTATAGATGTAGCTCCTCCATAACAGACTAATACATGCATCTGCAATTGATTATTATTTATTCAAGCTACAAATATTGTTCATTGCTGTGTAATAAGAAAAACTTTTAAAGTTGATAAACTCTGCTGCATGGACTTTATTAAATGCTTTTTAAGCTCCCGCGGGCCACACAAAATGGTTTGACGGGCCGCATTTGGCCCCCGGGCCTTGAGTTTGACACGTATGTTTTAAAAGCTCTGTTGCTGTATCAACGTTATACCATTAAGCATTCGCTAATGATTACATCATACTGTGCTGTCACCCTAATAGAATAGTGTACCAGTTTACAATTTACATTAATGAACATTTTAAAGGTAAAACGTAAATGCACCCAATTGTAGCTAAAAGGTTAATTTCCACTGGCAGTTCCCCTGCCAGAATGAGCAAGGAAATGTAGCTTGGTAGCGACATGCTATAAGCTACGTAAAAGGCAACAATTTACAGGACAGGTCCAAATTTAACCAAAAAGGCATAATATTTACAAACAACAACATTACACATACGTATTACCTATAAGCCCTCTCTGTCACCCGGGAGGAGCTCAGAGTAGAGCCGCTGCTCCTGTCTAGGTTCTGTCTGACCTGTTGCTAAAAATTAAACCAATCTGTGTGTTGGAGGAATTGGTAATTGTGGTTGGTCCATGTTCTGCATGTACCTGATGTTTTCCTTGCATCTTTTGTCTCAGGGGCAGCTTAGTGACATGCAGCAGACCTGTCAGCTGCAGATTGACTACAGAGAAAAACAATCTGAAGAACTGAAACAAGCCATTGTCTCGCTCAGTGTGAGTACAGTACAATACAGCCTATCTATCTACAAGTCTACAAGTTTAGCAGTAAATGTTTTCAGCACAACTACAAGTCAGTGACAGTGTTTTAACAGTTTAAATTTCAAATGCCAGCGATGTGCTCGAGGAGCGATAGAGAAAAGCGACGCCGTCTTCACTGGTCTGATTCGGTCGATCGAGCTGAAACGTTTTGAAGTGAAGGAGCTGATCTTAGCCCAGGAAAAGACAGCCATCGCTCAGACTGAGCAGCTGCTGTCTTTAATCCACAAGGAGATAGCAGAGCTGAAGAAGACCACAGCAGAGCTGAACAGATGTTCATACACTGAAGACCACATCCCCTTCCTCCAGGTAACCCACTCCCAATAGAGATTAATTTATTTCAGTGGATTATTACAGAAGCCGATACTCACGTTTCACTTCATCCCCTCATGTTGTCCTTCTGTGTGATTCCAGAGCTACCAGTCTCTGCCTGCTCCTCCTGCTCTGTCACCTCCCCTCTCTTACAGACAACACAGTGATTTGCCCATAGGTGCTTTGATGGATGCTGTGTCAGATTTCAAAGGACTTTTGGAAGAAGTCTGCCAGGGAGGGTTCAGCAACATCTATGAAAAAGGTAGATGCACATAAAAGTATGAAAACTTGTCTGGTTACAAATAGTTTTTTCATCTCAGTTAATTTGATTTCAACCTCTCTTTAACTTTGCAGTCAAAGACCTAATAATTGTAGGTCCTCTAAATTCTGATCCATTACCCGGACAAACGGTGGCACTGATGGGTGAGTCTCTACAGTAGTCCAATCTTTACAATATGTTGTTCACACTTGCTTATATTGTTTTGTTGTTAAATGCAGCTTTGACAGAATGTTCTGCAAAACTTATGAAAAACATATGACTGACAAATTGGTGATTGACAAATTGCTATTTGATGTTGATCATTTTTCATACACTACTATTTAGATTATCATGCAGAACAAACTCTGGCTCTGCTGCTGTTCCTTTATACATTTAGTTTAAACTGCAGGACGCTGTACTGAACGCATTTGTTTCTTCATTTCTTGCAGACATTTCCCCACGAAACATTGAATGCAACCGAAATCCTTTCATCTCTGAAGGTTTTGTACCTATGTTTGCCTTGTCACAGACTGGTAAGTATATGTAGAGATGTTTATAAATGACAGGAAATCCTCAGACTGGGTCAATATACAGTTTCATATACCTACATATATTCACATATAGAACTTGGGCCAGAAATGAACATTTTTCCTTATGCTTTGATACCTATTTGTGAATGTACCCTTTCATTTGTGTCTGCTTAGGTACCAGACCGTCTACAGTTTTTAGACAGAAGAATTTGCAACGACGCAGTCACTCAAGAAGAAAATAGAATTCTTGGCTTACACAAACACGGACTGAATACTTTACATTTGTATGGACATGCATGAAGTGAACATTTGATTTAATGTTTGCCAAAATTTAGCCAACTGCTCTTGAGAAAGAGAGAGAGAGAGAAAGAGGATACAAGTGGCCAAAATGAGCGGGAGATACTCCGATCATGTCCCACTGGGAGAAGACCCAGGACACGCTAGAGCAAATATGTTGCTCGGCTGGCCTGGGAAGGCCTTGGGATCCTCCCAGAAGAGAGCTGCAGGAAGTGTCTGCTGAGAGGGAAGTCTGGGTGTCCCTGCTCAGACTACTGCCCTTGCGACCTTACCCCTGATAAGTGGCCAATGATGGATGGGCTCTTGAGAAAGAAAAAATCTCATATAAATTATAAAATTATAAAAAGGTTGTATTAGATTATCCAAATGTTTTAAATATTAGGAATAATTTACTAAAATCTTGTGTACAGTATTAGCCTTGGTTTTATTTAATTTATAAGCTTACATTCCATTCCACATTTCTGAAATATTTCTGCCAACATTTTTTACACCAGTGTTGACTGAACTGTATTTTAATCATGATTCATTATTTTATTCTAATAGAGACCTGTAGCGTTGTTTTGTATTTCAGTTTGGGTTTCAAATACTTGGTGATGTGTATGGGGTAGAAGGTTGGAGAATGACTGATTTTCTGGCTTAGTGTAAAACCTGTTTTCTGAGCCCTAACAAGTGACTAAGGAAATACTTCTTGGGGGAATTTTTTTTTTTTTTTACATTAAAATTGTACATTTAGATTGCAAACAAATATGTTTGGAAAGTGACAACCACAACCATACGCACCCCAATGTATTTAACACAAGTGGTAAGACCACATCTCACTCTGTTGTGTTTTAGCAGTTGCAAGAAAATCATTTGGAACTAGTATTTCCTAATGAACTGTGCTTTTAAAATATTTTATATTCTGAGAACCAAAACCTTGCTGTGAATTTCCCCACTGTGTGGCAAGTAAAGGACTTGACTCAAACATATGCCTTATATTGCAAATGTAATATTTTATGATGAATTTTGTGTTGACATTAAAGAACAATCACACTACGTTCAGACTGTTGTCAGTGGTGCTGGGTTTTTTCTATTTGCATGAGGAGTGGATTATGACGTCTGTTGTTTCCTGTGGGAATATACTTTCTAATAGTAACCGTGTGTGACAAAAAAGTAGTGTAACAGGTTACACCCCCCCCCCCCCCCACACACACACACACAACACAAACACTGTAAAGTGAGCATAAAGGTGACGCGGTGCACTCTGTGTTGGCTTTACCAGGATCAGCTGTCCTCCTGCTCCGCGGGCTGTGATTGGACGGATCAGGTGCAGCAGATGAAACCTGAGCATGTGATGTCGCCACCCCAGGGAGCTACGCCCATCTTCCTGTCTTTTTCCAGTTTCTGTTGATGTATGACAGAAATGGCAGCGACAACTATTTCCGTTGAACAGGACCAGTTTTCTTGCTCCGTGTGTCTGGAGGTTTTGAGAGACCCGGTGACCATCCCCTGTGGACACAGCTACTGTCTGGACTGTATCGAGGACTACTGGAACAGAGTCAAGCAGAAGAGCCAGTACAGCTGCCCTCAGTGCCGGCAGGTGTTCAACCCAAAGCCTCTGCTGAGCAGGAACACGGTGCTGGGTGAAGTGGTGGAGAAGTTCCAGCAGACCGGATCTCAAGGTGCTGTCCAGCACTTGACCAACCCCACAGAGGTGAAGTGCAGCATCTGCAAAGGGAGACAGAGCAAAGCCGTGAAATCCTGCCTGGTATGTTTGGACTCGTACTGTGCGTCTCATCTAAAAGTCCACGAAGAGCGCCACCACGGGAAGACTCACAGACTGATACCTGCCACGGACGAGCTGAGAGCGAGGCTGTGTCCGCAGCACGACAAGGTCGTGAGGCTGTACTGTCGCACCGATCAGCTGAGTGTGTGTTCTCAGTGTGTGAGAGAAAGACACATGGGCCACGACTGCGTGTCCGTGGCACACGAGAGGACAGAACAACAGGTGTGTTTGTCTTCGTTCATGAGCATATATTACAGGACATTGTAACTTAAATGAAATATATGAAACAATGCATTTAGTTCTTTTAGGATCTATAGGAGTTTTACATTATATTCTTTTTTAAATCTTCTACTGTTACATACAGAGACCTTTCCTGTTTTTACATTAGTTTACAAAAAGCAATATATAACTTGAGCAATAAAGATGTTTTGTATTAGTATCTTAATTATTATTGGTGTAGCAGCTGCATACTTTCTCAGCTTGGTATGCCATATTTTATTTGTAAACCTGTTGCTTTCATATAGTTTGAAAGCAACAATAAGTAATGAAAAAAAAATCCAGTCAAATTAAAAAAAACAACTTGATTAAAAACTGGTCTCTTTAAACTAAGATACAAAAACAATACAATTGCCTTCATATTTACTACTTTACTTTGATATTTAAGTGTTGTTTTCTTTCCTATTGCAGCCATGTTGTTTCTAAAACATTGTTGTTAGGGATGAAGGGGATGAGTGTGAGCTCCATGTGTTCTGACTCTTTACCCCAGTCCCCTCAAATTATATTTAACAAAGCCTTTGCAAGATAATTGCAGCAATAACATCTGGTGATAACATTTTTCTAATCCATAGAAAAAACTCAGAGAATCATCGATGAAGTCTTTGCAGAAACTGAATGACACTGAGAAGGAACTCCGGTATATAATCAAATACATAAAGGTCAGTGTATTTACAAGTATTTCTGACACTGTGTCATTCGGTGTGCTGACACCCACTGACAGCTGAGAGATACCTGTCCATTCACAGCACTCCACAGAAGCAGCAGTGGAGGAGAGCGAAAGGATTTTCTCCAGGTTGATCCGCTCCATCGAGAAACAAAGCTGCGAGGTGAAGGAGCTGATCCGAGTCCAGGAGCGGGCGGCTGTCAGTCAGGCCGAGGAGCTGCTGGAGAAGGTGCAGAGGGAGACAGCTGAGCTGAAAAGAAGTGAGGAGGAGCTGGAGAAACTGTGTCACACTGAGGATCACCTGCACTTTCTCCAGGTATGAAACCAAATCTGACACCAAATCAGCTCCATATCTTTACCAGAAGTAGAAGTCTTTTATGTTGTATCAGGGGTCTTAAACGTAGAACCTGCAGGCACAACTGTGATACATGTAAACAGTAGTTGACGTAAACAATGGAAAACAAATTCAGAACATGTCTTGTTTGTGTAATGTTCTCACACAGACATGTGGGGGCAGTAAAGGCCCCCAACCCAGACTCCTGGTTTAAGCAACTCATTTACAGAATGCACCAATGCATTTACTTGTTTCTTTTTCTATTGCCTTAAATAGAGCTCACATCCTACTTGTCCACGTGTCTCATTCTGATGCACTTACTTTTAAGGCCATCAAAACTTATGATTCAAATGTTTTTGGTAACATTTTATGTTAACAAAAAGGGTTTCTTCTTTTTGTATTCCCTGCTGCAGAAGTGTC